GGGCAAGGGGGCAAAAGGCCAGAGACCTGAGCCCTGCTTACAGGGAGGTCACCCGGCGCAGCGCCAGCCAGGACACCAAAGGTGCCAACAACAGCACTATGGGGAGGCCCCTTTGCCCTGAGCTCCCTCCTCTCCCCCCAGCCCTCTCTTCAGCCCACCGCTCCTCCTCTCCCTTGCTCTGGCCTCGCAGCTCCTTCACGATGCCTTGTCTTGCTTCTCCACGAGCTGCTGCTCGGAAAGAAGGCGCATCCAGGTGCCAGTTCCCCCACCCGGAGGACAGATCAGAGGCCCTAGCCCTGCTGACAGGGCACTGGCACAGCTCAAAGCATTGCCAGGGCTGCCCAGGCCAGGCCCGTGCGCGGCTCGGAGGCAGTTTCCTCCCAGCCTCCCGCCTTCCCCCAGGCCTGTCTCTTCCTCCCAAGCTACTCCCAGCACTGAGAGCAGAGAGAAAGAGGGCCGGGCGCAGGGCACGCCCAGCCCCACACATCTCAGCCCTGCGCCTCTGAAAGGCCGGGGCCAGGGACACCTGCCTGCTCACAGGGGGTCCCTCACAGCACCTCCCGCTGAGCACAGGCCATGCTCACGGCCCTGCTTACAGGGCTTTCCCCCGGGGCTTGGCACGCTCAACAAGCCCCGTGGAGCTCCAGGCTCACCCCTTCGCCCGAGTTACGGGCCGGCTGGCCTGGCTGCGGCCCACCACCACGGCACACTTTAGGATCTCCGCATTTCACCCCAGCCGCAGAGACGGTGCTCCTCATCACCCTTAGAGGGTTGCCACCTGCCCAGGAGCCTGACCATGGGGTGATGTGGAAAAAGGTTGGCAAAAACCCAAAGACCCGAGCCCTGCTTACAGGGGGGGGTCACCCGGCACAAAGCCAGCCAGGGCACCAAAGGTCCTGGCGACACCCTGGTGCGACCACAGTCCCGGTGACAGGGAGGTCCCTTTGCCCAGAGCGCCCTTCTCTTTCCTCCTCTTGCTGCCCAGACTTCCTCCGCTGCTCCTCCCGCTCACTCTTGGCCTGCAGTGGTACAGGACGGAGACCTCCACGCTGCTCCGCCACCTGCTGCAAGGGCAGGAAGATGCCATCAGGTCCGAGAGCGATGCGGTCCCCGGCGAGAGCTGGCCACAGCACCACCCGAACCCCGGCCGCCCTCCCACCACCCACCCTGCAAAAAAACCTCGCAGATTGGCTTTTCTCACCCAGTCGGTGCTCCAACGCTTCCTGCAGGGATGACTGCGATGGGCGCATATCTTCTCCGGTCTCCTGGCTGGGTTCAGCAGGGCTTGGACCCTCCTCTGCCCATGAGGGGATGACGGTCCCTCCTCACGCAGCTCCAGTCCCCTCATTGGCCCGAGGAAGCTCCGCTCCCCCCCCCCC